TAATACTTGCACGATATTACTTTGTAACAGTCGTGAGTTTATTAAGTAAAATGATCACCAATTGTCGGACCAGTGTGTACGGAGTTGAGTCTTACAGGTACTTATTGACTGACTGACTACTGATCAACTGACTCGTAATGATGTTCATTGCTTTTTATATGTTAATTTTCAGGTCAGTATTGAATTGTGACATTTTGTTTTTTGCTGAATATACATTCTTGTGCTCGGTGGCTTTATTTCGGAGTGCTATTTGTTTTGCGTTTTGTCAGCTTTCTGCTGACGTGTGAATATTTTAGCAGTTTTGAATTTCCTGAATATGCATTTGTTACAAAAGAGGATGTGTCGCAAGGTGTAACAACTTTATTTCGGAGTGTCATTTACCTCGCGTTTCGTCAGCTTTCTGCTGACGTGCGAATAGTTTTAGAAGCTTTGAATTTCACGAGTGTGCAGTTGTTACAAAAAGGATGCGTCGTAAGACGTAACAATATAGTGTTGTAGAAAATTTTCTGAATTTTTGAATAATTTAAAAAATGTGAATCTACGCTAAGAAAATTATTGCTTTCTTACAGAGCTAAGATCATTATATTTTTCAAACTAATTACAATGGTCATTTTTATTAGATAAGCTATCAGGTTATGTTAAAAATTTAGTGAAATTAATATTGCCTTAAAAATTTAACATTACTTTTATCAATGCATATGTACATATCAATAGTTCATTCTGAGTTGTATATGTACAATGATTTTTAAATAGCATGCGTACTAATTTTTTCTTAATTTCAAGTTATAAGGACAACACGTATCTTTTTTTTTTTACAATTTTTTACAATATGATTTCGAAAGTTCACTTAATTGATAGCGTGCATATATCTTTGGAATTATAATCAACAAGAAATTGTGAATATAATTTTAAAGTTAATTGGTAGATAACGTTTATGATTGTTTCGTTAGGTTGAAAACTTTGAGAAAAAAAAGAAAATATTCTTTTCAAAAGAGCTCTAATTTTTATATATTTTTTTTTCGAGGAAAGAATTATGATAAAGTACGGGATGGTTGACAAAAAAAATAACTTGTTTTTGTGCAGACGTATATATGTACCTAGTATGTTCGTATTTCTTAAACGTTAAACTTTACCGTTTATCGACTACAGGTTAAAGCTGACTCCAGTTGTCGGCGTTGTTTTCATATAGTATGCCAGTTGTAATTCTTAGTGCCTAAATATTAGATCAGGATATTTTTCGCTCACACGAATTGGCAGTCAGTCTCGAAACTCAACGTATTTATCAGTATTTATATATGAACTACTATGAACAAAACTCGTAGAAAACGTAAGCAAGTAAAACCATCTTGATTTTGCTCATGGAGATAGTTTCCATAATTTTGCTACAGTATACTGCATACTCCGTCTCGATGCAAATTCCACTCCACGTTCCGTGTCTTAACTGTCACAGATTCGAAACAGCGCTGATCATGATTGGAAGCAGTTCCACCGTTAGAGGCGCTAGTGCCATCAATACTGGAATACAGGGCTGTAGTGTGAAAATATCTACATATAAAGTAGTACGCGCAATCTATGTTTTTAATATCACTAGCACTACCAGCGGCGAATTCGTTCTCACGCTATCGTGAATGTTATTTATGGAAGCGTTTTTGAAAATGTAATAATTTTAACCTTTCAATTTTCTAAAGTTTGTTTATTTATATTCTCTTATATCGGTACAACAAATCGACTTCAAATCCAAGCGGTTGAATCTGTTTTCAAAATATTTTGACTTGATTTTGAAATATTTGACTCTCCTGATTATAAGAAACCAAGGCTAATAACTACAGGTACATGTCTAGTTTACCTCTACTGAATTCAGAAATCAACGCAGTCATTGAAGTAGCATTAACAGTTAAGAAAAATCTTGAAAAATCCAGTTTTTTATATAATTATATAATATATACATATAATTATATAATGATAAATAAACATATAATCTTATATAATTATATGTATGTTCATGTAGTAAATTTACAGATACGCTCGAACATATGTACGCACATGCACGCAGTCACACGAACACACGTTTGCGTGTGTGTGTGTTTACATATATACAACGTAATTACTCGATTTTACGACTAGTTTCCTAATAAAACGTAAAATTTATGATTGCATACGTCTCTAGGGCTTGATTATTTTACTTTTTGAATTTATATGACGATAAGCTAACAATATTTCATAGGTTATTATACATGTTTTCCATGTAATTTTTTGTGTAGAATCGAATGGTACAATTAGTTTTTACATAGAAATCGTGTGCGAAGATTTAATGGCCAAGAACGACAAAAAATGTCGAAAGAAATTGGTTTTTCGCTTTTTTTTCAGGGTCCCACAGCGAAATTCAACTTTTTAAGTATACCATTGAATTATTCATAAAAAACTACGTAATTAAAAAAAAAATGTTGTGTAGCCATTTTTTGAAGCAAAGATATCTCACTTTGAAAATTTTTTTTTACTTAAAAAATTTGTTTAGGTTAGAAAAACTCATTGATATAGATCGAAAAAATTCACACATACTTGTCTTAATAAACAGTATACGCGTGATTTATTTTCGTAGCGATATCATAATTGGTACCCAAGAAAAAAAATAGTTTTTGAAAATAGTGGTTTTTAGGTTATATATATATATACGGGTGAGGAGTCGGGGACTACTTATATGGCCAAACTGTATCTTAAATAGTCCCAAAGAGGTAGCCATAGCTCTTTTTGAGTTTTTCGAAGGGGGGCATTTCACCATTGTTAACGGGGGGTACCCTTTAGGGATTAATTGTCACCTTACTTAATGGAATATGCATTACTGGCGATAAGGACTATTTTGAGCAACTGTACCAGCTTTATATAAAATTAGAGTGAGTACCGCACGACTTATCGTTATCCAAACTTTTGCCAATTTAATTTCATTACTCATCACCGTCCGCATAAATGCGCCGGCTATCAGCGAGATTACTGGTTTAATAAATAGTGCAAGGAGGAGTACGTAATAGTGCATTCGCGTTCGAAAACTCATCGTGCCTACATTTATACTGCGAAATCTCGTTTATCCTGTTATTAGTAGTGTTAAGCTGAGAGCCTACACAATCAAACAAACATTTACACATAACACTATTTTCGTTGTACATTCTTTACTCTTCACATTTACACAATTTCTTTGTTTAATAAATCGGCTCAATTAATTTCAAATCTAATTGTATCCTATGTTCTAAACCTTCCGCCTTGTCCTCTATCCATCCGACCTTGAGTTTCGCTCCAACTTCGATAGAGAACCATTAGAGTTAGTAAACATATAGCCGACTTTGATCCAACTACTTGCTATCAAGGTAAGCCACGACCAAGCCTCGATGGTAACAAACTTATACACTTATGGATTCGCGAATAATATTTTGTCAGCTTCGTAGTTCAAGGGGATTAGCCTGACGAAATATTAGACTGCTCTATATAAAATTACTTACAGTGTTAGCTAAAGTTCTTAACACCAATCATTATTATTCAGGGTGGCACTCCCCTGAAGTGCTTAATTAATTAGTAGTGCCTGGCGCTCACTAATCTGATAAATTAATTATCGTAACTTGTAATTTAGATTACACCGACTACCATGGTGATTGTTAGTCGGCAAAACACCATGTTACAAATTAACTTTACTAACTTTACGCGTCTTAAAAAAATCATAGAACTGTAAGACCTTACATCTTAATTGCCTAAACCTACAAACCTATTACCCTGCGACGCAATAACCCCAAGATCTCACACCATAATTTCCGAAACCCTCAAATTCTTTAACGTGCTACATAAAAACAATAGTCCAAGAAGTTAATCTAAGAGAGAGAGAGAGAGAGAGAGAGAGAGAGAGAGAGAGAGAGAGAGAGAGAGAGAGAGAGGAATCCAATGGAACAACTTCCCCTTAGGAATAACCTACTACGCCGGCGACCTCGATAACCTGAGTATCTCGCGCGAATAAGAGCAGAATCCACGAGGTAAGCTGGCCAGCCTCGCGTAGTATGTTTGCGTGTTAAAGATAAAATCGTCAGTCGATCTAACGTGAGGTTAAAGCGCGATCTAACTGATGATAAAGCGCGTAGAGGTGATCGCTCTCCTATCGCAAATCTAGTCAGGCGAGTGATCGTGGCGTGTCTGCCGCAGCGAACAAGACGGTGGTGGCCGCATCTGCCACGCGTTAGTAATTGTTATCGCGGCGCAGGCCGAAATTTATAAAAGAATCGTAGAATAATAAATAGCATCGTTACGATAATTAAAATCAATTTATGTTGATCGTTAAATGGCTCTTTAGAAGTGTCTATTCCCGCATTGATACGTTCGTTGCTACTATGTAACTTCATGCTTTCGCGTTCATTTTCAGCTAGCGGAATTCAAAAATAATATCGAGCGAGGCTAAAGCTGTCTAACAAAAGTAACGACAGCAACCAACGGGGACTTCTTCCGGAGGCAAGGGCATACGCCCAAGGTGAAATCGCGGTACAAATATCGACGCAAAGAAAGTGTTTGTGATTGCCTGTGGGGGTAATCACCAAAAAGTATACAGTGTACCGCAAAAGCGTACACCATCGTGTAAAGACACAGCAACGCTTGCGCAATTCGTACTTATCCGCGCACATGCAAAAAGGCATACCCGCAAACTCGTACATGGCGTAGCTCACAAAACATCATACTCCGTTACAAATCAGAATACTGAATGAAACATTAAAGATTAGACGATTATTTTGATAGAGAAAGTCGATGGATTGTGTTTTCTAACTTTTAATTTATCAAATAATTAATAATATGAACACATTTTGATGGAAATAACATGAAATTATTTCAATGTATTATTTCAAATTATAACAATATATTATTATTACTCGTAAATTTTTTAAGCAAGATCTTTATAAACACGAAAGTTCAAAATTCGTAACCGTTATATTAAGAACTATTAATTACAACTCATTATATTATATTATTTCCAGATTATACAAAAGTATTCTGCACAGGTGATTACGCAAAGATAGAAAATGATTTGTTATATTATGAAGGGCGGTACGATAATCAAGTAAAAATAAGAGGTCATCGAGTTGATTTATCAGAAGTAGAAAAAGCATTATTAAACTTAAATTCGATAAAAGATGCTGCAGTGTTATCAACTAAACCTTGTGATACTGAAAAGGTAATGTTCTTCTTAAAAACTGTTTCCTCTTATAATTATTTCATATAAATTAATTATTATTAAATTGTTCTCAATATAAATACTTATCAAAGTTTTTCAATTCTCATAGCAAAATACTAGAATTAGAGGAGGACGGGAAGTGTAGTAAAGAAAATTGAATAGATAAATATCAAATTATAATTTGTATGACAATTAGTATCATACGCAGGCGGTAGCACAGGTATGTTACGTCGAGGACGAGTCAGACTATTTTATGGCGGTAAAATTTGAATTTTTTATGGAAGGGGAGTTCCCGTAATTAAAAGCAATAGTCATTTAATAGCTGACTTTAATCTCAGTGACGTACTTACCCCTTCTGGGATTAACCTTTTATCGATTAGTTTTTATGTATTTTGTGCTATAAAAGAGAACGCAAAACAATTTTAACGGAGACTCTGTATACTACTCTGTGACACTACGCACCTTCTGTAATTCGATCAATAAATATTATAAATCTATTTCTATAATAACTTATTTGAGAGGTATACCTAATCCACCTCCATCTTTGGGTTTTGAGGTACGAGTTTCTGGACCAGTTAAACTGCAGGTAAATTATTTAATTATTACCTATTCACTAGGTATTTTAGATACGTTGCCGCCCTGCTTTTGTTTGAGTCTCGCACCCGTGATAAAGCGCTTACGCGTTGACCGAAAAGAGACAGTCGCGTTTGAGTAATTCTTGTCAATTTGCGGCCGTTACGTGAGACGTAACAGGTATATGAGAAAGAGAGAATAGAATAGAATAGTGCTTTATAACGCCAATGGAGTGGATCCCGTCCGGAAATTGTGAAAAATACAAATAAAAATAATAAAAAATTATAAAAAAATTATAACAAATTTTAATTACGCTAGTAATAACTCAACTCTTCACTTCAAATTTCGAAATTCACGCGAAAACTGTGATAACGCACAGGTAGGTTAATCTGATATAGACAGAGATATCCATTTGAAAATTTGAATTTCACGCCGAACTCGGGTCACTGATCAGTCATTACAGGAGTTAAAAAGATGACAGGAAGTTAGAAATTTGATAATTCGGTTCTCAGTGATACCAACTGTGTTGATTAAAATTTGAATTTGAAAGGAAATTTGAAAATAATAATAGTACCATTTACGAAATAGCGGAATAAAGGAATAACAACTTGACTAATAGTATAACTTATAAACAAGTGAATATCCAAACAAAAACATGCCTAAATGGAAAATGAGATAAAAATAAATGATGATTGGTAGATAAATGAGCGCAGAATGATATTCTAATATGATAAAGTTAATAGTGGAACAAATAGTATATTATCATTATCAATAAAAATAAAAATAGTAGCGGATATATCGTGCTAGATATAAAATAGTAATAACAATAATAAAATAAAAATAGAAATTAAAGATGATTAAGAAATACTATGGGAATAAGAATATTGACGCAAGACGATTTAAATAAGACAGCTAAGTAGTTTCACATGATGTCATGGAGCGAAAACCCACTGACAATAAAGTGTCACTCCGTATAGATAACCATGTATGAATTGACAGATGAGATTTTTTACACAGGTACTTAGCAGCAAAGATATATAAACTGTTGTTGTTGTTGGTAATCAGTGTTGGATAGAAGTGTAAGAAGTGTAAGAAGTGTAGTGGTGCTGGTTTAGGAGCTGTATCGTTGTTACTGTTGTTTTGTGTATTTCGTAACTCGATTTCGTCAATGTCAATAGATTTAGTGTAAGTTATGTTGTGACTAATTAAGTAGATAATTCATCCAGTAACCGAAAAAATTGACCGAAAAGCCACAAATTTCAGCTGAAAACGCAGAAGCGAGTTTCACCATAAATATTAATTTAAGAAGAGCGCTTAGAAATGCAACGCGCTGTTACTTACCGAGAGAACAAGAGAGGAAGAGAGTTTCTAGGGAAAAGTCAAAGAGAGATAACATAAAGAGTTACTACTTAGTTATAGTGCAGTTAATCTTTGTTTTCCAGAATAAACAACTTATAAATTTGTTGTGATATCATGTAATCACCGCAGAACAGCGTTGAACGCTTGCTCGCAAAGAAATTCTGGTCACACACGCACACTCACACACAGATATACAGTCACCATATCTGCAATAATAGACACTGTTCTCTTATACTTATAAGAACATTTGAATTATTACTTGTTCATCTGAATTTTCTATCCAATCATATTACTCAGCAAAAACGCTATATAATTTCTAACCTAACCTCTATTGAAAAAATTTAATTATAAATCCACGCTGTATTTCCAAGTGTATGATCGCTTCTTTTATGAAATTAGTATTTTGAATAGCTACTTCATCTTTTAAAATATTAATATTAATGAAAAATAAAATCAGAGATCAGAATACGGTTTGGATTCAGGATCTGACTACCCACACTCTACCATCTCAGTTATTTTCTCAACTTTGTTTCTATAGTATACGCCATGTACGAGGAGGGGGGGGAGTCAATAAGTCTTTACAAAAAGAAAGAACAAAAAGTTTTGCGTATGTAATTTTTTTTTATTTTTCAACATAATCTCCTTGAAAGTCAATACATTTTATTAAACGGCCTTCCAGTTTTTTTATGCCATCAGAAAAATATGATTTCTGAAAACTCTCAAAATAGGCATTTGTTTCGGCAATAACTTCTTCATTCGACGTTAATCGTTGTCCGGCAAGCCATTTTTTGAGGCTAGGAAAGAAGAAAAAGTCACTGGGAGCCAAATCAGGTGAATATGGTGGATGGTCAATTAATTCGAACTAAAAATCGTTAATTTTTGCCATCGAAACTGCACACGTGTGAACTCGAGATCCACTTTTACTACTCATTGTAGAAGAATTAACAAAACGTAATATAAGTCCAAAAGAAATTTTAGTCGCAGTAAATCGTACTGACAAACTAGTACAATTTGAAAATAAATTTGAGCCGATAATTGAATAAAACGCGGAAATAACGGAAGACGAGTCAAGGGAATATTTCCAAGCTTTGACAAACTTGACAATTGACAATGACAACGATGACGAAATAGAGAAATAGATAAAATAAGAAACGAAATTCCTATTAGAAATCATAAAAAATTTTTAAGAATTTTTAACGAATAAAAGAAACAACAACAGGGAAACGCCGGTGGTTTCCAGGTGAAAGGCCCGACCGGGGTAACAACCAGCCAAACGGAGCGCCGAGCTTAAGTAAGAATACAAAGAAAGTAGAAGTATCGAATAGACTGGTATTGCTAAACTTGAATAGTAAGTCACCAACTTTCATTTTAGAAGATAAAAATTAAAATATCAATCTTTCTATCATGCTAGATACTGGTGCTGGACCATCTCTACTGAAATGGTCTAAGAAATCAAACGAAGCATATCTGAATAAATTGAATATTTTAGAGTTACGAGGTATTACACATAACAGTGTAGTAACATTAGGAAAAATAAATATTACAATAAAAGATTTAGAATTCGAATTTCACATAGTACCCGATGACTTACCTATTCAAGAAGACGAACTAATCGGCAGTGAATGTTTGCGTAAATTCAACGCTAAAATAAATTATAAAAACAATATTTTAAAAATCGCTGATAAAGTATTCTCTTTATCCACAAATAATACAACTACTGATAATCAATATACAACATCGCAAGATGATAATAGTTATTCAAAATCAGTAGCAAACTGCAAAACTTATGCTGGAGTAATTAGAAATCAAGTAAAAATTTATAACGATTTAGACAGATTTGTGATAAGCGTTCCCAATAATAAAGAAAGCGATGAAGAATCAAAAATAGATTTTGAGCCAGATAAAAACGATGTCAAGAAAATTAGACAGAGCGGTTACGAAGACAATCGTTCAAATAAAATTGGAGTAAAATTGCGAAAATTCGAAATTTGTAAATTGCCACACAAAAAATCTGAGATTTGTAATTCCGAAATTGGACTGGAAAAAGCTAGTGAAGTTAAAATTAATGAACCTGAAATCTGTACATCCGAAATTAGAAATTCGAATATTGAAAATTGTAAAAAATCAGAAATTAGAAAAAACCAAAGTACATACTCAGTTTGTAATTTAGCATAAACTAACAAAGAATACGGGAGTGCACGCCCAAATTCCGCGAAAGCTAATTCGTTATTTATTCAGAATAGTATAACAAGTAAAGCCATAATGAAATCACCCTCCATAAAAATTTCGTAGGTGATAAAATTCACCCCACGAAATTCTCAATGACAGAAAATAAATTGAGTATATAGCCATATTATAAGTCGAAAATTAGAGAAAGTAGTATCAAAAATCGCAAAAATGTAGATTGTTACGACAATGCTGACGAAACTACCCTACTGGAAAGGGTTAATAAAGGTATTAATGCATTAAATAATACGAATTCATACACAAGTAATAAACCATATTCCGTGAGCAACTTTTTATCAGTAATTAATTCTGCAACCACCCTCCTCGAAACATTGGACGAAATCAGAGATAAAAAATACATTAAAGAATTACTAGAGGAAGTGGCACAAATAGCCGAAAAATATAAAACTATTAGCCATCTTCAAAGGTCCAATAAACAACGAATAGTTTTACAACTTTTGGTCGCCGTAAAGTTAGATGCGTTAGGAGGATCCACAATATACTCGGTCTTTGACCTTTATTCAGGATATCATCAATGCCTAGTTAAAAAAGGGGACAGGAAGGTGATAGTATTTCAATACGACCGAGGCCTTTTCCCGTTTACAAGGTCGCCTTTCGGATTGAAAACAAGCTCGCCGGTCTTTCTATCATTAATTCATCTTTTAACGACAGGAATGAAAGGAGTAGTAACTTTCTTCGATGACATTTGCGTACATAGTAAAATTATCGAGGAACATTGTGAAAGTATTATTGAATTAATGGAACGTCTAGAAAAGCGAATTAAGTATTAAATCCGGAAAAACGCGAGTATTTTAAATCAGAGGTAGTATACCTAGGTTATG